TTATTTTATCTTATAATCTTATTTTATCTTATAATCTTATATCTGTTTATTGCTTATCACTGCGTGTTGATGCGAAATAAGTACTATCAAAAAAAAAAAATTATAATGTTTACGTAACAAGTTAACGCAATATGCAATTTGAATCTGATGCAACGCAAGCTTTGGTTTAATATTGAAAAATTATTATTCCTACACGGAAAGGAAAGAATTTTTTCCTAGAATTCACTTTGAAAATATGTAGTTCTGAGACAATATTATATTTCGAAGAATTTTATGTAAATTTTTCATTAATAAAACTATAATAAAATATAAAATAAATTTGATTAATTTTATTAAAATCCATGGTAAAAATTTTTAAATATTTTGTATTGTATTACAACTATCATATTTTCAGAATAAATTAAAAAACAAATTTTTTCCGTGTATTTAATGTCAATACAAATTCATCAACTTTATCGGTATTCAAATAATAAATTACGTAGAATGATTGTGCAACATTTCATAGATCACAATCTAATGAAATTCACGTAGGTATGTTATATATTATACATATCATATATTATGTCGAAGTATAAACATAATAAATTAATTGCAAATAATTGTCAACGAATTACGTAATGCATAACAATACATAATGTTAATAAAATACATAGCAGCTTTTTTATTTAAAAATGTTATTGATAGTAAATATATATAGATTATTATCAGTGATTTTTGCTGATTTTTGTAGCAACAATCTCTCTCAATTTTAAACAACTCTAGGACTCCACTTTTCTCTATCCACATCTTTGATTCTATCATGAGAGAAATCATTTTGACCTTGATTTCATCATGTAGATGAGAATACATCATTCAGACAATCATTCAATTAACTCGATTGCTTGATAAGGATTGCTTTCAATGAAAAGTTAAAAACAAAGCTTCTATATGCTGAAGTGCGGAAAGATCGTAAGTTTTGTAACAATAATAATGTATATAAAACACGGGCAAATGAGAGCTATTACACGATTATTAGCAGTATATTATTTAATTAATTATTATTCACAATTTATACAGTTATCATAAACAATTGTCGAAGTTTTGGCTATATTTTTTCAATCATCTTCAAGATAATAAATACATTCATTAAAAATTAAAAAATATAAAATTGAAGAATGAAAACCTTCTCATCGAATTTAAGCGTTCCAACAACTTTCAATTTTGTGAACCTTTCTCTTTTTCAGTTTTTAGACTAGTAAGATCTATATGTACGAAATTATTTTATTTCTAAAGTTCTATGAGATTTTTACTAATTCTTAATAACTTACCAGTTCTAAGAGAAAAGTACAACTTCATTCCGTTTCAAATATTGTGATCACAAACATTTTTAATTTTCATTAGACATATGTCTTTGTTAGTGTATACAGATTTCTGATATTAGGCATTGAGTAATGTGTTAGATTAAAATAAAGATTAAAATAAATAATAAATATAATTCTTCATAAAAATATATGTTACAATAATTATGAGTTCTATCTTAAAAACATATGATTGTTCAAATTGATTAAGAATTGAAATATATTCATGATGAAAAAAATTTTGTACCCGTAGATTAATTTCATTGTTTTGTAGCTTTATGTGTATCATTTCTGAAACTAATCTTTTTCTTAAAAACCTCTCTCTACCCAATACATTCATGTTCTCCCAATCAATTTTGTAATTGTGACGAAGTGTGTTAAGTTCTATAATTTTTGTAAGTATGTTTGAAAATTCATGAAGAAAAAGATATTGTAATTTACGTATAATCAAATATACATCAATCAAATATATGTATCTATTGATTATATTATAAAAAAGATACTATAAGAAACATTTCTTTTAATTAAAATATAATTATGTTTTAAAATACTTAAACGTGTAACAAATTATTGTTTATATTTTTTCTTTACAAAACAATTTCAAGAAAATTTTCAAGAATTAAGATGTATCTTATACAATGATTTTTAATGATTTATGAGACGAAAGACATGTAAGGAACAGTAAATAATAATAATAATAATTTTTATTTTTTGTATTTTGGTAACATGAAACTGTTTTTAAAATTATAATTAATAATGATTATTTAGCATATTCTTCTTTTTTAATAATTCTTTCTTAATAATTCGTTTGATAAATCATGTTCTTATATATATATATATA